GAGAGCTGCTACATCAGTCCTCATTCAAATGCAAACTGGGAAGATTGCGCTGGCCAGTTACCTTGGTACCTTCAAGGCTGTGGAATCAACTGAATGCTCCTGTGGATGTGGCCTCCAAGACATACGCCATGTTCTCCTCCACTGTACCAACCAGGCAGGACCCTGGATGCGCCATCTTACACAGGGATCAAGGCGGGAGCTGGATTACCGGGCCTACCTAACACGGCCAGACCTGGTACCAAAAGCAGTGCACTTCATGCTTGAGACAGGCCTCCTAGGCCAGTTTCAAACTCTACCAACCACATACTGAGTCACAACAATAGACTTGGGGAAACCGGCAGCATAACGCAGCCAAGGTTACACGCTTGCAGAAGTAGGGAAGGAAATGAGATAGTATCCAACAAGCCCATGGATCCTCATGGCCATGGGAACAGCAGCACGAAAACCAGCAGCACGGGATATACAACACGCAGAATGAGATATCAGGATATGTGTATAAAGGCGACGATGTACATAGCGACTACCATTACGGCGGCTTACCCGGCCGCCCCGCAGGACCTGCCGCCACTCGGCCTATAGGGCTGACAGATGCGTGTATGAATAATAATAATAATAATAATAATAATAACTACACCTAACTAGGTAATTCCGTCGGAAAATGGAATCCTTGGCTTTTCACTTCCTTACATTTTCGTCTAAGTGATGTTGATATATATTCTTCCACCTAGTTATCCCCCCTAGCCCTATCACTCTGCTTCTATCCAGCAAACCACTCGACCCTATTAAAATGATAAAATAAGAATTATGGCAAACTTCGAAGGGAAAAGAGCTTTGATCTCATATGGTCCCCACCAAGATGGAGGTTGGAAAATGAAGAACATTTCGTTGAGACCCTTGAAAGCAAAGGAGTTGTTGGTTGAGATGGTCGCAACGGGGGTTTGTCATACAGATCTCCATTTCGGAGGTATGGTGAGCGGGTACGGCGTTCACTATCCTCGTATCATGGGCCATGAGGGTGAGAGCAATCCCTATACCTGATAGATATGAAGAGATAAAGAAGCATCCTTATTCCGCGACTAACACTTATATAGGGGCGGGATACGTGAGAGAAATCGGACCAGATATCACGGCTGCGAAAATAGGCGACCCGGTCATCCTCTCCTTTGCAGCATGCCGCAACTGCGAGCAATGCCTCAAGCAACACCCCGCTCACTGTATCCGATCGCAACCCCTTAACTTCGAAGTCGGTCCGGATAAAACCAGTCCTCTTATGGTGAGGGCCAATAAGCGATAGGATTGAGCGTTTTACTGAAGATCTTCAAGAAACGAAATTCTATTTCCTAAATAATATAACATAATAATCATACATTTTCAGTATGAGCAGCGTCATTCTCCTTGCGCGAGTAGCCCGGATCGGTGTATTCAATTCGCTGCGGCAGCTCGTAGTCGGCACTCTTCCATGGGGGCACGTGGTTGACGTACATCCAGTCGAGTTCCTCGAGTGTACGGCCACGTCCCTCAATAACACAGAAGTAAACAACAAAAATGCCAACAAAGAGACAGCCAGCAAACACATAGCCATAGGCATAGTCAATATCCCCTGTGATAAAGGGCGTGAAAAACCCAATTAGGAAATTCCACAGCCAGTTGGATGCTGTCGCCAACGCCATACCCTTGGCACGGTATTTTGACGGGAAAAGCTCAGCAGCGATTGCCCATATCATAGGGCCCCAGGTCATCGCATAGGCTGGAAGTCACATGACCTGTCAGTTTGAGGTCCACTGATCTCGGATTAGGGATAGGACTTGCCGCTAATAAAGAGACAGGCGAGGACGACCATTCCCTTACCGGCACCGGGAGTGTTTTCAGGGGTGACATGGTCAAAAACAAAGTGACCGACAGAGGCAAAGGCAATGAAGCAAATGAACATAAAGGTCGCACCAACCGTCAGAGACTTGCGACGACCAAAGTTCTCCACAATATAGAGACCACCAAAAGTCATGCCAAAGTTGACTGCACCAAGAATGACCTGAGTAACAAAGCTGTTTGAAATACCAGCGCCCTGGAAGATGGTGGTTCCATAGTACATGAAGTAGTTGGCACCAGTGAGTTGCTGCAAGGATTGGAGGACCATGCCCAGGATGATGCGGATTGCGGAAGAACATGCGCGGGGCAGTCAAGAACTCAGTCCACTTCTGATCTGTAATTTCAGCCTCAAGTTGCTCATGGATCTCACCCATTTCTTCCAGGATGCGGGTGTGGTTCTCAGGAATACCATAGAACTTGGCCAGGTTGCTCTGGGCACGGTCGACGCGGCCTTGGCGGAAGTTAAAGCGAGGGGTTTCAGGGAAGAAGAGTATACCACCACCCAGGGTGAGAGCAAAGACGAAGGTCAAGCCTAGGGTAATGCGCCACTGGGCGGTGCCCTTGAGAGACTCAGTGCCCAGGTTGAAGAGGTAGGACAAGAAGATGCCCATGGTGATGAACAGCTGGTAGGAACAGATAATGGCGCCACGGATGTGACGGGGGGCCGATTCACCTGAGTTTGTTAGTCAATGAACAATATAATACATTCTAACATAAGAAACGTACCCTGATACATAGGAACGACCAGGGAGCAACCACCGACACCAAGACCTGTTACCCAACGACCAACAACCATCTGATACCATTTGGCGGCAGGAGTACTGATCTAGACAGCAAGACCGATGATGAGGATGACACACCAGACACTGATGGTCCATTTCCGGCCCAGCTTGTCGGCGATAGGAGCACCGCAGAGGGCACCAATCAAGGTACCGATGGAAAGCAGACTGACAATGAGACCAGTACGGACGTTGCTGAAGTAGTAGGTGCCATCAGAACCAAGTTCACCATAGCGTTGTTTGTAGTTATCCATCTCCTGGAAGCCGGAGATCTGACCAGTATCGTAGCCGAAAACAAGACCACCGAGGGAGGCGAAAACACCCATGATGAAGGTCCGGAGAGTGAGGCGAGGAATGGGAGTATCAACCCCGGTCATCATGGGCTTCTGGATGGGAGACTGGGGTTGGTGAAGATCGGCCTCCGAAATGGACTCACCATGGTGGGCGGAAGTTTCGACACCCATGATGGAGAGAACACAGAACACAGAACACAGAACAGAGTAACATAGGGGCAAGGACGCGGGACCGGGACTATATAAACACACGGAACCGGGCCAGAAGAGGCGAAACCAAGAAAAAACAAGCCAGTTCAGTCCGTCCCGTGGGGAAAGACAAGAAAGCAAAGACCGAACAAGCCTTTTCTGGACCTTACTCCGTAAGTCCCGAAAGCGCGGAGTCCGCAAGAGAGAAAGATCAGGGCAGTTCCCGGCCGGACAAGAGTGGAACCTGATGAGGCCGACAAGTGTGATAATGGAGTATAATTGATAGTGAGCAGTATTAGTGATCATTCCGGCGTTTGGCTTACGTATCTATGTATCACAGCATGTGCATTGTGTACAGATTACAGAGTATAATAGTAAAGTAGAGATAATGTACATAGTACATTACCGTGGACCGAATGCGGATAGGTGACTAGTGTCATTACCAACCCGCAATTCCCACTCCCATTCCCCACCCGACCCCCGTAGGGTCGGCAATTGGGACCAAATTCCATTTCCCGCAGTGGGAGCGGGAATTATAGGGAATTCCCCCAGTCCCAATTGGGAACCCATAGGGTTGGGTCGGGTTGGTAATTGAGGGAATGGGACAAAAAAAAATTCCCACATTTCCCAATACTCCCAGTACATCACATTACATTACATAGATTATAGTATTCTAACTATGGTTAGAATTATACCAAGCTATTAGTTAGTGAAGGTACTCAGATGGTTAGATGTACTTTGTATAGAGTACTATAATAATATACATAGAACATAAATAAAAATACTATAAAATATCATCATTCTTGAACACTAAATACAAACAAGCAAACAGAAAAATCATGAAAAGCAACCATTTAGCAGTCTATATTCCATTATTGAGATTACGAATTTACGATAATGTACACTAATTAGAATCAGTGGTTTAAATTTGAGCGTGACTGGAGCATGGAAAGTTAATTCAACTTTACGATGAAGATTAATTCCACTGTACATCTGGGTGGGTCCGGGTTTTGGTGATACCCTAATGCCATCGTACCTACGATGGAATACCCCCCATAGGATAGGTCAAGATAAGTCATGCAACTCTCACACAACGGCGAAGATACTCCTCCACGCGAGACACGTCGCTAAGCTGGGCGACAATTCCAACATATCCATCCGGTCGGACAACAGCAAGTGCTCCCTTGGTAGGATCCACACCATAAATTCCATATGCGTCTTCCAGCTCATAACCATTGTAGAAGCGCATCTCGGCATGCTCCTTGACGCAGCCAGGAATGTCGTCCCATTCGAACTCTCTTTTAACAGGCGGGTGAACCACAATAGTTTCGATGAGGGAGCCGGGGAAACGCTCGATCAACATGGTGATTGCAATTAGAGACTTTGCTGAGGTTCCGGAGGAATCAAGGAGGTCAGACGAGGTAAGACACAGAATGCGGAATCTTCCGGTTGATTCCAGATCTAAACATCCAGTTAGCACAAGTTTCGAGGATAAATTTGGAGATGTCGACGAACCATCCTGGATATCGCGATGCCAGCCGTCAGCATGGCGCACCAGCTTGACGTTCAAAAGTCTGCATCCCGGGCGCAGGATTCCGGACAAATAGTCACTGCCTTGGATAGGATCTGACGATCCCGTGGGGAACTCCTTGACAACAACCATGCTATCGTTATACTCAACACCACATCCACTCGTGAAGCCATTGCCGGTGTTGAATGTTTGCACAAACTCGGCGTGTGACATTGCAGATTCTGCCGAGTCAACTTGACCGGAGAAGATCGTGGAAAACTTTCGGTCAAAATCAATCAACTGCTGCGCGTTTGCCTGTCGCTCAATCTGGTACGTATCTAGTAGAGGATCTGGGGTCTTCAGGTCGCCAGAGGCAGGCGTCAGGCCGTTAACCTGGTAGGCTAGCTTCCAGGCCAGGTTGTATGAGTCCATCATAGAAACGTTCATTCCTTGGCCAGCCTTTGGGCTGTGCGTGTGACAGGCTAGAAGAGTCAAATATTAGCGTCGACCATCATTAACAATTTAATGAAACACATACCATCACCTGCAATGAAAACTCGACCCACTCCAGTAGAATCCTTCACAATGAATTCAGGCGAAACCCGCTGGCCGATCTGGTACGCCGCCCACCAATCAACAGCATCTTCCCTCTTTGGGCGAAGATAATACGGTTTGAATGCATCTTGTGCCTGCTTGAGAATATTCTCCAACGTCACCTTGCTACGTCGCACCCTAGCATCTTCAAGGGTCACGTCCGGTGGCCCCACATCGTTGTCATCTAGCTTCACTGCACCAGGCACAAGCACATACAGACGTGTAAGGCTTTCGCCAGTCACAATTCGCTCTCTGGGAATAATCATCACAGATCCAGCTGGCGAGTGGATCGCGCATCGTCTGCGAATATCTGGAAAATTGGTGTCCGCCACCAAGTCGACAACGCCCCAGATATGATCAAGTGACTGGCCCTCCAACTTCAAGCCCAGGCACTGGCGAACCACTGAGCGTGCACCATCAGCACCAACCAGATGCTTCGATCTGATCGTCCGCTTCACTCCATTTGTCTCGATATCAGCCACGACAGGAAACTCCTTATCGCTCTCATCTATCTCGACATGGAGCAGCTTTGTGTTTCTCATTATACCGCGCTTCGAATAGCGGAGGAGATCCGTCTCCAGGATGCGCTCGATACGACCTTGGTGAATAGTGGCCTCATAGTGGAAACGGGCAGGTGGAATGACTTCGGGTACGATACTCCTTCGTTCGATGACCTTGTTCTTATCCTCAGATGGCTTCCAGAAAGCAAATTGCCACATTTGACAAGCTTCATTTTCGATCTCGTCCGAAATTCCTAGTGTTTTAAAGACCTCCAACGTCCGCGGCTGCACCCCATCGGCTTGTCCTGATTTCAGAGTGCTTGGTTTCGCGTCCATACACAGCAGAGATTCGTCGCTCAACCCATATCGGGCAAGCAACAGTTCCAGCATGAGCCCGGCCGGCCCAGCCTACAGTAGTAGCATTAGCACGACCCACGGTATTTCATCCGGAATTGAATCCACACAGTGAAGGAAAGTCACATACTCCAACAACCACCACCTCATATTTTTCAGACCCGTCCCCATTCGGTCTAAATGGCGGGGACAAACGAGGGAGCGGGGGTGCGAAAGAGGGGAGGACCCGGAGGTCTCGCGATTCAGACGAGAATTCTGTAAAAACTGGCATCATATAGGTATATTAAAGAAAATGGAGGCTATGTTTTGGTTGGACAGTCAGGTATATGTATTTATATCCCATCATATTCCATACTGGCGCTTCCCCCAGGTGTTAGGTGCCACATTGTCCGGAAGAAACCCGCCGAATCTGAGCCACATGGACCAGAGGTCCCCGGTAAAGAATTCGGGTTTGAAAATGGAGTATAACTGGATCATGGGCGACGTCATGTCCAAACATTCAGTCTAGGGTAGATCAACCCAACCATTGGATTAACAACTGGTGTATCGTGGGGATGGTTAATGCCGCGAAAGGCTAGTTGCCTTCAATTATCCGAATATTCGCGCATATTATGATCATCTTTACCCCAGTTGAAGCCTCGTTTTGCCGTAAAGTGTCTTCGCGTAATTATTCTCAATCTTCGGCTCTCACATTGAAGTGGTGGGCCACCCCGTCACCCCGCAACTCCCCGCCAATTCCAGTGGGGTGGCCCCATTTGCTGGACGAGGGCGTCCTGGAATCACGTATTTGGGTTTCCTGCTGCGAAGCTGAGCTGGCTTTAGGGGAATTATGTGTCTGAGTAAAAGTTTTTCAAGCTCTCGCTATTGGCATGGATAGATTGTTTTCCGATTGGACCCCGCCTCTATCCATATCCAGTTCCTTCGGTATACAAACATAGTCTATTCCATTTTTCCATCTTCCAGGGCGGCACATAAAACCGATGCAAATGTCTTAGAAATGGCCCATCGTCCAACCCGGGAAAGAAGATCAATCAGTCGGTGAAGATGGTTTACATCAGCAAAAGCCGAATCTCCGAATGCCTGCCCCTGGGCTTCGTGTAGTGCGGTATCACTCCCCAGCAATTGGATCTCAGGTGCATCAAATGCTTTGAGGTTGATCTCCTGTTGGTGGCCAATCCGGTTGAAGCAGATCCACGCCAAGGCAGCAGAAAATAAGGCTCGCGGAAGATGGATCGCAGGCTCAGCAGATACCCGCATCCGCTCCAGGTAGCGCTGGACCAGCAATGCATGGACAAGACATTTGCTCGCATCCAGCGAGCACGCCCATTTTTGAACCTTATCCAATGCTCGATTGGCTTTTGAACTTCCACAACGGCCAATTGCCTGTTCTAGTTGGTCCATGTCAACGTAGAGACACATGTATGTGGTATGCCACAGGACGGGGAGACTGAAGGGGTCTTCGTCGTCTCGAAGATACTCTTTGTGGGTCCGCCACCAGTGAATCATGAGTTTAGATATTCTTGCTGATTCTTGGGTGCTAAATGTAGTTGAATGCCGCGACTCGAGAAGACTCGCGTTTATACTCTCTAGAACGCTGTAGGCGGCAAATCTTGATCTACCCCCTGCATTGTGGAAAGCGTCATCCATGGTCAATGTAGATGTCTGGGTCGATGAGAGCTGCTTATAAATTGAAGCCCATTTGGTGGCAGTTGGAGCCATGAAGAGAGCATCCGATTCTAGAAGAGGGTATTGAGCGAATCGATGCTTGCGGGCTGGGTCATGGTGAAGTAGACCTGCAAGCTCTGCATCGTGAATATTCAAGGCGACCTCAACACGTCCTCGCTGTTCCACCTCGATCCATGTTTGCCATTGCTCTTCCAGATCTGGTGCATCAAGATCTAGGTTGAACTTCTTGGTGTCATTGAGATCCACATGACTATGCTTATTGGATTCTCTGGCCCATGAAATTACAGTTCCATGCAGGACATCTGCCATTACCAAATCCCTCGGCCTCCCTGATAGAATTGCGAATGTCTGCCCCATAATTGCAGCCTGTACCATGGATAGCGCATCAGGGCGACTGCAAGATAGTATGGTCTCCCAAGAGGCAAGAATCGCCTTGTTTAGCCTCTCAAAAATTCTTGTTCCCTGGGCCACTGCATGTGAAGATCCCACAAAGAGACTACCAATGGAGCATATTGACAGAAATAATAAAGAGTTTTCCGGTGTTGGCCGGAAGGTCGGGGCATGGATGATAGGGAGTAAAGAATGAAAGCGACTGAAGAATAACCTAGCAAAGAGGTTGAGATGCTCTGCAGATGGTAAAGCCTCATCATGCATCCGAGGTTGGAGCTGGCGCGAGAGGCCAGCACGATAGTTCTCATCTGCATTGACATTGCACGATGCAATTGAACCAGTGTGATCAGTTGCGGTTGGCTGGGTCGATCTGGACTCTTCAGATGGTGACAAATAAGTGAACCATTTCTTCTGGACAGAATTTGGGTGATGAGATGAGCTCGGTTCCAAGACACTCGTCGGTGCTGTGATTGGCCCCGCAAGGTCGAAATTGCTATTTGTTGATCCTGCATAGGGGGTAGTTGAAGGTAACTGAGCCCACTCGAAGATTGCGGACGATAATGAAAGGTCTAGCGCGTCTACATCCAGGTCTGCCCCTAGAAACCAGCTAGAATCACCATGTGACATGGTATCATGTAAAGCCATTCCCGGCGGATGTTGCACATCAGACCTGCTGAGATTCGGTGTTTGAGCTGTTGCATGTGGAAGCCAAAGGGGCTGATCGACTGCTCCCACTGGCTTCGGTCCCGATCCGGCTTGAGATGGTGGTGTGAACAACATCGAATTGTCATCAGGAAATGATGTGGTCGGCCCAGATGCATGGGACTCCGGGGACAGGTTCTGATGACTCTTTTCATGCCGCCTCAACACATCACTATAGTTGCATAAGAATGACGGTCTATTGGATTTGTTGTAGAGTGGTGTTTACCTTCGGGAGTACAGCTTGCCACAGATTCCACACTCATAGGGTCGTTCCTTGGTATGGCTGCGGATGTGCCTTGTTAAATGCTCCCCCTTGGAGAAGTTCTTGTTGCAGATGTGACATCTATGGTCCGATCGACTTCGAATCCTGTTCATCTCATAGGAGTTGAAGGGTTTTCTGGTGCCTATATGTTATCTCCACGGCTGGCGTTCGTTGATGCTCACCTCACCCGGTCTGTTCGGCTCGCGGGCGGGGACCTAGGGTCCCCACGTTGCAGCACGTGATTCGTGCAGTTTGATGAGTGATGAGGATAAAAACGCCGAACTCGATGAGGAAGAATATCGGCCCGATTAGGCGATATCCGGTACCAGTATATATAGTTCTAGGACAAAAGTCTACGTAATTTCCCGCAACTACGAAAATATATATAATCGCCAAAACATTTCTTTTCCCCATAAAACAACCAAACA